GTGCAGTCTGATAAGGTCTAAGTGCAATAATACTGTGCCAAGAAAAAATTTAATGATAATTAGTTTTAATGTTAAAAAAGGCATTAGAAACATAAACGTAAGTAATTCAATGTGAAGTAAATATGTTAGTGTTGTAATGGATATGTAAAATTAATATCAAGGAGCAACTGTATCTTCCCTGTGTTAGAGGATTATGTTCTTGAGTCTGAATGGTAAAATAACTAGTGTCAATGATTTTGAAGTTCTTAAGCCAATAGTTTGTTTTGGAGTTTTCAGTCAAAATAAATGCAGAGACATTGGAATCCCATTTCTGCTATCTCAGCTCATGAAAGAAAGAAAAATAGAACGGACTGTTTTTTCAGTTCTGTTTGTCCTTTAATCACACTTCAGAGATCGTTAGCTTTTCCATGTTTTTCAAAAAATTTTTAGGAATTTTCATTACTCTAGATTATCACCATATATACTTAACACATATATACTTAATTGTTATTAATGACGGTGAGTCAACCCCATTTGTTTTAGCAGTCAGTATCTTTCCAGTGATTATATGTGCACTGTTTTACAAGTATTGTTACTGGTGCGTATACAGAAAATTCTGTTGTCCCCTATAAAGATGGCTTTAGGGAATGATTGCAACTCCTAGTCTGTATGAAACCTTAAGAAGTTGTGTTGATGCTTTAGGTTTATGATTTCAAAGGGGGAATGTAGATGTGTTATTACAGAACTAAAAAGATAATGGTTTAAAGGTTTAAGTGACTTCTTGCTTGTTTCTTCATAATGGTGTAAAAAGATCCGTAAGTCATGAAAAGGCCCAGTGTATTAGTTCACTGTGCCTTGCTTGGAATTGTACTGCCATCTGCTCAAAATACTTGAGGAAAAACAAACACAGATGAAGATACAGTTCATCACACAAAGAACTTTCCATAAAATTTTTCAAAACACTATTTTATTTTACAAAAATAAGATGTCTGCTTTTTTTGCTACTTCAAAGTTCAGCCTTCACTGTCAGCCTCACTAATTATCTGTTAGTGTCTGAGTAAGCATTTGTGCTTAAGAAGTTGTTGCTCTTTTCAGGAAATATAAATAATTTCTCAACTAAATAGTTAATCAGCTTTTCATATAAAGGCTACCACTGCATCAGAATCTTGGGTATTCACCAGGTGTTTACTGTTTTCATGGTCAGTGGTTCTTTAAAATGTTGCAGTGTAATGTTATGGTGTTAATAATTACAGCAGTTCAAAGAATGCAGTAGTTTAAAGAAATAAAAGGGCAGAAAAACAAAGATATTTTTTTTCCCTTGTAGCTTAATAGAGCATTCCAAGAAGAAGAATCTCCATCAACATTTTACTGCATCAGCATGCACTGGTTCAGAGAATGGGAAGGATTTGTAAAGGGTAAAGACAGTGGTAAGTTGTGCCCATTTCAAAATGTAGGTAATCTTTTGTTATATTGTTATTTGTTTCTGCTTTGGTAGAGGACTGTAGGAAGAACAGATAGCAGAGACACCAAAAGCTCTTAAATATCTAAGACACAGGTTTTATAGGTTACAGATACATCTGGGATACAGAACATAGTAAAATAATTCACAGCAATGGAATAGTGTTGGAAAGAATGTTGCTTGTTTAAAGGATGTTTGCTGTTAGCGGCAGCAGGAAAATTGGATCTAAGTACAAGAGGGGATGGATTTTGTTGTGCAGACTGATAGATGATTCTGCAACTTCTGGAGGAAAGGTGACCTCATCAAATCTAAACTCAGATAGCTCTGTAACATCTGTACTAATGTCAGTTTAGCTGACTTCAGATGCCTCTAAAGTTTTAAAATGGAAGCTGATAAAATGTTCTACAGTCTTGTCAGAGTCTGCTCTAGGACAGCTTTGGTAAGGGTAAGAATTAGGATTAATTTTTGTTTTATGTTGCTTGAAGACTTAACTGTAATCATGAATGCTTTGGAAAACTTGCTCTTAATTAAAAATGTGATTAGCTTTTAACAACTCAGAATGCACTGTTAAGCAGTACAAGAACAAGCAGTAAACAAAGGAGCTGTTTTTCTTTCCCTTTGGAAACAGAACCTCCAACCTGCTGTTTCTTTTCAGCTCTCACAATTTTAATAATTTTTCTGTTCACTAGATCCTCCTGGCCCCATTGATAATGCTAAGATTGCAGTAACAAAATGTGGCAATGCTGTGCTAAAACAAGGTAGGTGTCCAGTATTGCTGCTTTGTGCCCCTTATGCATTTGCTGAAGTTTGGAAAATTTATGCTTTATTAAAATTCATTTATTGGGACCATAAAATGAATGGCAGTTTCTAATGTATCTGTGTTGTGCCCATTTTTGGGGAATCATTTTATTCTTCAAAAGAAGAATTATCATTTGTAATTGGCTAAGCCAAGTGCAGTTGAGAGTGTAGGAGGTGCAGAGTAACTTGAAAATGGTGAAAGTGTGCTTTGGTTTTGTATCACTTGGTTTGGTGGGGGTTTTCTTAACAAAATTGGGAGGCTGTTCTATGTCTGTATGTAGTTATTTGAATCTTGAAATCTAATTTGAATAGGAAAAAAATCTTCTCACAGAGGGAGAGAACCACTGTAAATAAAATCTGTTGCTCATTTTTCTGCAAGTCACTTGATACTGTACATTGCACGTTAGGGAAGTTTTTGCAAAGATACAGATTTCTTCATTATTCTTCAGAGTTAAATGCTAGTTACCATTTATTTGGAATTCATAGGTACAGAGGAAAACATTCTTATATGACCTGCTTTATGAAGTCTTTAGACTTCCTAGGAAGCTTTAAATTCATTGCAGCTCAGCCTAGAAGAAGAATTTGCATCAATGAGATTAACATTTATTTAACTGGATTTTCCCCTAATTTTGCTTAATGCCTCAGCATACACTGGATGTACCAATAAACCTACAGTAAACCTCACCAAATTGTAGAATTCCAAGAGTTTATTTTAAAAACAGTGAGTTTAGGCACTCATTAGTTTTTTAGTGGATTTTAATGATTTAAGTGCTGATGCTATAATTCAAGTACAAAATATAAAGCCTGATGAAATAAAAAAATCAATTTAGAAGCAGTAGCTGATATTTAATTAGCCAGTTGTTGATTTATTTTCAGCTACATTGATACAAATTAGAACTTGCGTAGAAATAAAGATGAATAGGATGTGCAAAGTTTGTCTCGTAAGTTGTAAGAGGTGGGAATTCCACTAAATAGTGTCCAGTACAACATGTTTCTCTGATCCAGTGGTCCTGATTCCAGTGCCTGAGTTCATTGTGCCTATTCAGTTTAAGCTGACTGGCTGCAATCTGGATAAGGGAGTGAAGATCTACTTAAAACGTAAAAGAGTAAAAGTGAGGCATAACATCATTAGTACTGGCATGGGATCTGCATGATGACTTCCAAATGAAGCTTTGCATAATTAATTTACTGTAGGTAAACAAATGTGCAGTTATTTGTACCCTTCCCCTTTAGAAACTCTTAACAGGTAAAGTACAACAGTAGGCACCACTGCAGCAGGTGATGAGGACAGAAAAATACAGGTGGTAGTGGGAGATGTCCCCTGCTTATAGTGCAGACTTCCTTTTCTTTTGAGTATGAGGGTGCTGAAACAAGGCTTAACAAGACAAATTAATAATGTCTAGGAAGGATATCAGGGGAAATTTGCTGTCAGGCAGGGTTTAGATTTGCTAAAAGAAGAGGCTTATTCTGTTAGAACAGAAATGTGACCTCTCTGCATGCGTTAACATAAGGAAATCACTCAGTATCAGACAGGATCTTTGTATTGAAACCTAGAGGGGAGATGTACTGATGCATCTTGTCTCTGCCACTCTAAAAAGTTGTAGCAAATCCAAAATGCTTCTTGGGTACTGACTTGAGACAGGAGACAGACCTCTAGCCAGAGCAATGGAATCATAAATGAAGATTTTAATCAGTGAGTGAAATCAGGCTGACCCATCAGTGCTACAGGAGTATTGCTGGAGCTGTTATTATCCTAATAATAGTCCTTTGTCTCTGGGAATTTCACTGTTCTTTACTATCCATATTAATTTCTCTGATGAAATAAGAATCTTGAGTCCTTGAACTTTACTGTGTAATTGATGTGACTGCATGTCCTTATAATAATATGAATCACTGTTTCCTGAGTACCAAGAGCTACTGGCTGTCAGCTTGATTGGTAGAAATTAGATGTTTATCATAGAATTTTCATGTGTTTTCTGCAAGTGCTGCATAATTTAGAGCATGTAGTTGTAGGAATCAAGAAGCACTAAACTAATACAAAATAGGTAACACAAATTGGGTTTGGTAGCTGGTGCAAGATACAGCAAAAATTAAAGTTATGGTGTTAAATTTGGATCTGGATTCTTACAGTTTTAAATTTTAATCTGGATTTTTTTTCCTTTTTGTATCTGTTTTGGACTTAAATCATTAAGGAATTGTTCTAAATAGTAATTAAATTTTAATTTTTTTCAGGTGCAGATTCTGGACAAATATCAGAAGAAACATGGAATTTTCTTCAGTCAATCTATGGTGGAGGTCCAGAGATTATACTCAGACCACCTGTTCCTCCTGTAGAACCTGATATATTGCAAACAGAAGAGAAGATTGAACTAGAAACTCATGGTCTGTAGCTATTGAGAAAAAGATGAACTTGTAAGGAATCCAGCTTCCTTACAAAATGCCCAAAACACATTCCTAAAAGTTTTATTCTCTTATGTCTGTTGGAGGCACAGCTCACTGGGCATTACATTAACTACAGAATAGTAAGTTGAAATATGTATTGCAATTTGTTTAAGTAGTGGCTGTTTCTCTGTTTTGGAAGGCATGTGGTTTGTACATTTTGGAATGTTTGGTCAATGGGAAAAATGTAATTTCTGAATTTTTTGCTAAAAGTTAAAATCCTATTATATCCTTAGACTTGAAAAACAGGGACAAATTTTAGAGATGTTCAATTACCCTTCTGATTCCTGATTGAGCATCTGATATCTACACACTTTTGCCTGTCTTAATTGTACAGTCTTGATGAGCCTAGGTATGTGAGGAGTATATTTTAAATGGACTGTAATCAAAGATAAAGGATTTTCATTTCCTAAATGCTCAGGAAAAACATTGTCTCTTATTTTGCACTGTAAGTATAAGAAATGGGTAGTATATAACATCCAAATACTTATTGTATTTGAGTGGCTCAAAAAATATGGTAGACTGAATAATGTTTTAGTCAGCAAATGTCATAACTTATTACTACTAAATTTTACATCTTACTATAGTCTTCTGTAACTCTATAAACCTGGTTAGTGTCTTTAATAGTATATGTGGCAAAAAGATTTAGTCTTCTCTAGGGTAACATTTGAGAGCATGAAGTGTGAAATGTAAAATTATTATGGACATGAGTGATATAAATTTCAGAAAATTAAAATGTTTGGTCTCTTGAATTGCATTCATAAGCATTTATATTTGAAGGATTTTATTGTATTGTTAAAAATTTTCATTGGCATGATGACCTTTAATGTCAGAAGCTGGATAAAATGTATATACTGCAAAACTTCATTGAATGATTCATATTGGAATGCAGAATGACACTTGCTCATGTTTTTGCCTGATATTGTTACCAAATAAGCAGCATTATTCAAGACTGGATCAATAAAAAAAAACCAAACCAAATTAACTGTGGAATAGGTGGGGGGAGCTTTTCTAAATGTTTCTCATTTATTATATAAATACAAAAATTTCTGAAGTAATGCTGTGGTACTGCTCTCACACCCATACAATTATATTTTTTGACCATTTTAAGTTTAGACAATGATGTTGCCAGTTCTAGCTCCAAAGTAAGAAAATGCTGATATAACATTCCTCTGAAAAATTTTGTATGTAATTTAAAAACATACAGGTTTGTAGGACTTCATGCTATTTGAGTTAAAAAGCCATCTGTAACAGCCCTAGGGAAAATGTCCTCTAACCATAAGTATTTGTGATTTGTGATTTTATGTTAGTAGATAAAGCAACTTGAAGCTAATATCACATTATGCCTCTAATGTATCAAATGCTTGCTACTGACTTGCCTTACTGATTAAGGTAAAATTAACTTGCTTATGAGCAAGTCATTAGTAACTTGCTGATGTTGGCCTGTGAACTACTATCTGATTTAAAGTTGTTTTTTTTTTTTCTTTTGCTAAAGTTTTCTAGTTTTCTTTGATTTAAGGTTCTTTAACATACTAAAGCTAAAGAACAATGAATAGAATAGTTTTTCCTACACAGCATTCTAAATTGGATACTTAGGAACTATTTCCTTGGTTAAAGCACAGCACAGTGATCAAGTTTACAAATTTATTCAATATTTTCATTAATAGTCTGGATGGTAGGACAGACTGGCCCTGTAAAATTTGCAAGGGAACGATGGATTGAGTGCTAGGTGCATCAGCTTGTCAGGGAATGTGAAGCAGTTCCGTGCTGAATATTCTGAGTATTACAGCAGATCAGACTAAGAGTTAAAACCCAGTGATACCAAAACAAAACCTGTTCTGGGTAATAGTAACAAAAGCATCAGATGTGAGGCACAGGAGGTAATTATTCTGCTCTACTTGGTGCTGTGCTTGTTGTGAGATTTTGTCTGTACTGTTCCCAATTTTGAATACTATATGATGATAAATACATAGTTGAGGTTATTTTAGGGAAAAGCAACAAGACTTAGTGTTGAAAAAGAAGTCAAGTTTTAAGTTTCTCCCTTAAAAGAATGCTGAAAATGCAAGCCTTCCAATGTGTAAATAGTTGCTGGATTAATACTGAGCGGTTTTTTCCTGAGATAAGCAAAGATATTTGCCTCAGCTTTAGCAGTGGAGACGTGCTGGGTTTAGGAAGCTTATTTAAGAAAGCTAGAAGTCTTCTAGTCAGTCTTTTCTACTGGGTGTCTGGGAATCCATAGTTAAACACAATCTGGGATGCACACAGATCAGTAAGGAGACACTTTACACCAGCAGAGTTTGTGAATTGTCATTGTGGAAAAAGGCATCTTCACACTGGAACTCTTGGTCATACGTAGGAAAAACCAAACTCCTGAGTTTGCAGAGATAAATAGATGTGTTTTAAGATAGTTCCAAAGGGATGACTGTCTTGATTTTAGCCCTTTGAGAGCTCTACGAGGGATATTATGTCACAGAAATGGAAGTAGTCCTTTAAAGGAAGGCAGTGTGGGAGAACTCCAGATGGATGGCTTGTGTATGCTGGAGGGAAGGCAATAATTCAGAGAATAGGTAAAGGAGAGGCCTTTACTTGGAAAAGCTGTCATGATGCGTAGCAAAGATGGAATGCATCTCAGGAAGGGCCTGTGGAAATTATTTTTTTCCATAAGCCTTTCACCAGACTATTTGGATTCTTTGTTCATTTGTTTCCAGTTGAGGAAACACAGCAATGTGTTTGGATGCCAGAGAAACTGTCACTTCAAGAAGGGAAAAATCCAGTGGAGTGCTTGTAGGCCTGGAAATCTAGATACGAGCTGTTAGAAGCCTGCAGTTCAGTCTGGTAACTTTAATCCCCTCTTCTGGGGAAAACTGTATGGTGGGTGTCAGATGTAGCAGCTCAAAACTTGATTTCTCTGAATTTCTGAAGGTTTTTTGAAAGCAATCTAACCAATTGTTAATCTGAACAGCTAGCATTGAGGAGACTGCTTTAGATACTGTGTCATGTAGCTGAACAGTATAATTAGAGGGAAAAAGAGTAGCAGAAGAGCAACTGAATTAGTAAAATAAGGCTGAAGTAGTAAAATAAGGCAGTTTTGTAATCTGTTTCATAGGTGAGAGCTAAATAGTCTGGCTACTCAATGATTTAAACTGAGTAGTCCAGAAAGCTGTTTTGGCAAGTATCATCCAAGTTGGTCCTGTGTATATGGATACATATATATTTATGTATATTAAGATAATTATATTAGACTTACACATACATTTTTATATACATACACATGTATTTTAATATATGTATATAAAAATGCACATAATCTACTTCTTCAGTATCTTAATTGAACTATGGCTAGAGGCACTACAATAATTATTTTGGTGTTTATGCTGAAATAGTGACCTCAAGTAGCTGCATTTGATAAAGGTTGTTTTGTTAAATAGACAAATGACACTCAATTTACTGCTGTAATGGGTGTCAGCCTTCCCATCAGTAATGGCCTGAAAAGACAAAAAAACATAAAGTGTGAGAAATATGTTTGGCTCTATCATAATGTGGATGAAGAAGTTTTCATTTGTGAAGCAAAAGTTCAATATGCCCATTGTTCAGTAGTCCTGAATTTTTTCATATGAAATCTATTATAATTTTTTGTGCTATGCTAATGCATTATTTAAAAATTCTTCTTCTCAGATTCAGAACTTACATAGTGACTGGATTTTTATAGCACTATATATCCTACTTCTCCTAAAAGCAGAAGACATTGATTTGCAGTGCTACTGCTAACATTTGACTTATTTTTTTTTTAGTATCCTGTTATTCATAATATAAGTTCATTTGGAAAAGCAAACCTGGGATTTGTAAATTTTACTGAAAAACTTAGATATTATCTGCTTAAAGGGACCAAGTGCTTTCTTCACATTTGCCATAAAACTATTTTATACTGAATTACGAAAATTCTATTTCATTTATTCCTTTTGAATTCCCTATATACATCTGGCTTACTGCAGTCTAAGCAGTTTTCTCACTAAAAACCTTTCAGCCCAGGAAATGAGTAAAACAACTAGGCTTTCTCATTCTTCCTAACAGATGGCTTTTCTGGCTTCCCTCTATACTTAAGCCATCCAGAGCTGACAGTCAATAGCAGGAAGCAAAATAAGACTTCTGGGTTTCTGAAGTGTCACAAAGAAAGAGGAATTACTTCCAATGTTAATTCACAGAAATTAATACAGTTACAAACAAACTTGGTTTATATTAGCCTTCAGAATCTTAGGAGATTAGAAAATAGCCTTGTTCAGTAAAATTTTAGAAGTGCTATTCTCACTAACAATGAAAAGGGTAGATTGTTTTCTTGAATATGTTCTATTGTATATATTTTAGATATATATATATCTGTTTAAAATACATGACTTGTCTTAGGTTAAACTTCAGGCTAGCTTTCAGCCATTCAACAAGGTGCCAAGTCTGCTTCTCCATAGAAACCAGTGAACACTGCTGCACAGTAAGATAAAATATGCTTTTTATGCATCTAATGTTATACGTTTGCTTACAGTCACAGTTTTCACAGAAAGCTGGAATTATTTATTCTACCTCAAAACTTTCCTCTCTTCTAAATGTGTGTCAGTTCAGACATGCAGCTAGAAAAAGAAGGTCAATTTGTGAGAAACATGTCACTGAAGTGTCATGTAGGTATGTCTGCATGTCAGGTACATGTCAAGTAGAATTTCTGCACCTGGACTGATAGTGGTACAACATGCAAAGTTACTTGATGGCAAATTTCCACATAGGTTATATACATGGGTGTGTGTGGGCTTTAAAAGATGCAATAGGAACTTGGTTACAAACAGGATGTTTATAAGATGAGTAAGCAAGTAAATTAATTTTCTATTCTGAGTTGTTCAAGACTGAGTTGATTAACTAAAACTTCAAGTTCTGATTTTTGAATGGACATGTAAAAATATAGCTGACACTTGACTTGCTGATTTATATACAAGTATAAAATGAACCATCAGTAAAAAAGTACAGCTGGCATAATAGGAATACACTGATTCTTTATGCAGTTTTGGTATTCCTTTATGCAATGCTAGTGAATCTCAAAACACTTTTCTTCCTAGTCATTGGGAGCATGGGAGGTACAAAAATAAAGCAGTCATCATCCACAAAATATTTTCATAATACTAATCAAGTTGAGAAGTTTTCAATTCCAGATAGGTTTCTTCGTTCTCACTTGGAACTCACAAATAATTTATTATACAGTAAAAATTTTACTAAGATCTGTTTTTGGAAAAACTTAGCACACGAGAAAGTAAATCTAAAAGTACTTTGTTGAGAAGAATAAAAAGGGCAGAAGAGAGGAGGCTTTTGATTCATAGGCGTAGGAAAAAGCTTAGAATAAATTGTCAGCTGCCAAAAATGAAAAATAGCAACTTTTGTTTCATATCTCACAGGACACTGCCAAGAGCTTTTCATGTTCATTGTTCATGAATAGTTTTGCTCAGAAATGAATATTTTCCTAGGTGACTAATTTTTTTCTGTCTGGTGTGTTTAATGTTAAACATGCTAAACATGTTTAACATTATAAAACAAGATGTCCTGGTTACCATGGGGATACACTGGTTTTTTTCCCCCCCATCACCACTTCCTCTGGGTGTCTGTTAAAATGCCAAACCCAAATGAACATGCAGCACTTGCTCACACTGTGAATGCATGTTTGTTTCTACCACTGCACACACTGTCTCTCTAGCACCAGAAGTAAGGTTACTCTGTGGTTTTCAGTTATAACAAAAGAAATGCATTCATGCATGCCAAACTGCTAATGAACTGGCAGCTATTAATTCACTTGGACAGTTTTTTTAATTAAGTGTTTCATGTAGTACCAAGTTTTACAATTTAACTGCAAGAAATAAAACATGTATTAGCTATGAACTCTTTGAGTGACCTGTCTTCTGAATAATTTTTAGTAAGGGACAAATGCTCTCTTTTGCCTTGTTTGCTTGTAGTGTAATTAATTTGCTGTCCAACCAGGCAGGGTAATGGAGATATTCTATCTTTTGAACTTGGTCAGTAGGAATCTGAGCTTCGTATGTGACCTCACCTTTGCACACTCAAGTGCAGAGACTGGTCTTCCTGGGCGCTTTCTGTAGATGTTGAAAAAGATTCAGGTAATAGAGGCAGTTTCTGGGCTTCTGCTCTGCTTTTAAGTTAAATCTGAAAAGTGTCTACTATCGTTCTGGATTTGAGCCCTGAACAGGAATCTGTTCTTAAACTGTCAGTGGTGCTGGTGTTCACTGCTATGTGATGGCAATTTGTCTTTTTTATTTAAATCTTTTACATCCTGTATGAGAGGACCCTAATCACAAGCCAGGCTTGTCCCTGAAAAGCTTTTCTGTTTGAAAAAAAACGTGCCTAAAGGCTAGGCAGAAATGTGCCAGATTTATTTATTTATTTATTTATTTTATTTAGACATCTACATCTTACTTGAAAACTGCTAGTTTATGTTTTTCTGGTTTACACTGAACATTCTACATGCTGTTGAGTTTTGAGTAACAATAGAGCCCTTTATTGTGGTGTAGGACCTAAAGGAATATGCATGGTAGTCAAAACAGTGACAGGCATGTTCTGTGACCTGATGCACCTTCATGTAGGTTATGTATAACTCAAAATTTTAATGTGCAGCCACTAATACCTGAGAGTGCTCCAAACGTATAACAAAGGGATGTTTCTAAAGGAGAGAGGAAAGATAAAAGAGACTGTTAGGACAGGAGTTGATAACATCTGTAAGGGCTAAAACTTGTGTGGAAGGTGACTCACTCTTAAAGTTGTGCTGATGGAACACTCCAGAAGGTAAATGGAGGTAATGTGGGCTTCTAGGTTTTAGCAGCCTTAGGCAAAACCACTGTGTCCATACAGGTTCAGCTCACACTCTCATCCTGTTTAGCCAAAACTTCCCTGATGCACATAGGTGAAATGTCTCAGAACCTGGAATTCTCTGGATTGTTGTTTTCTTGAAGCCTGAGTCAAATTTCATACACCAGAACAATAACACACTTGAAGAAACTGCAATAAAGAAATTTTTTTAAAATACAGTTGGTTAAAATAGGTAGCAATATTTCCATTTTGAAATATAAAAACCCACTTTTGAGTAGTAAAAACTAAGATGAATAATACATTCTGAAAAACAAAGATCTTCTTTTTGGTGTGCAGCTTTTATGTTTAATGAGTTCCAATCTGGAATGTTTTTTTTAATAATGCACTACATTCTAGCTGTCATTTCGTATCGAACTGACTTTGAAGCCTCTACTGAAATTAGAAAAAGCCATTTAAATGGGAATACCTCGTATGTAAAGAGTGTTTATACATGGATACAGAATATAGTCTGATTAAATTATTAAAAATAAATATTATATTACTTCACTGCAACTTCTTAGACCAATGTGGATTAGAATGTCTCTACTTTAAATATACTTCAATTATTGCAGAAAATGCAAATAATAACTTCCAAAATTCATTTAACTTTTGTGATTGGTAACTTACTTTTTCAACATGAAATATGATTCATTTCAGTAAAGTCAAATCTGCAACATTCTGTGTGGGTTGTAAGACTCCTGAATTGTCTAATGGACTTACCCTTTATCAGTGACTGGAGATGATTCTCTTTAATGAAGAGCTAAAACTTTATTTCCCTGTACCTTGTTCCTACCAAGGAAAAAAAAGGCATAAAACCTAGGCATTCTAAACTTAGGGCTGAAGTGGATTTATTTTAGTAGATAGTAAGAGCAGATGACTACATATAATTGTGTGAAATTTACCACTATTATATTTTTTAAATTATTTGTTTAGTAATAGTCTAATACGATTTTTGACATGCTGACTTCCACACAACAATAAAGTCTTTGTCCAAATACTATTTGAAGTAGCAAAAATATTACTAAACATATGCATTTTGTTATTATGGTTAAATTGGTAATATTGTCAAATTTAATGAAAATTGTGCCAAAAAGCCAGAACAGTCTCTTGTAAACTGACTACTGAAACCACACTTAAATGCACAAGTAGAGTGAGTATGTCTTCAGGCAGAATAGTTCTTAAAGGTTAGACACAAAACAGAATTGTTTCTCTAAAGGATTTTGCTTCAGGTAAAGCCAGCAAAAGCACTTCAATGAGGGAATCTAGCCTTTCTCATATTTATTCTTTATATATGGTAGTATTAATGAAGAAAAAATGAATCAGAATGTAGAGGTTTCCAGGGAATAGAGCAGGCAGAACTGAGCAACATAGAGGACCTATAACAATAATTGATTGTGTAAGGATGTGTAGTGTACCTGAGCAGAAGATGGTTTTAACACTTAATTTTTTTTGTTGCCTTTTGTCTCAACAAAAACTATCCTTTTATAACTTTATCTTCTGTAACTATCTGCAAGAATGCAAATACTTTTTCTTCTCTTTCCCCAAAGTTTCACCTTTAAAGTTCCTACAGACAAAATTATTGAGGTTGTAAAATGATTAACACAGAGGTATCTAACTGCTGTGCAGAGCCAACTCTCATCCAATCCAGGATGTTGTATTAGGTTTGGGCCATGGAAGTTGACCCAACAGAACCTAATCTGGCTTTAGGAAAATTCTCACTGTCCGAGGTGTAACTGCACAGTCACCTGAGTGATTGCACACACCCAGCCAGTCCAGTCCAGTTTCCCTTGAGTCAGATCAAATAAACCTCTGGAGCTGAATTCAGCCATAATCTCCCTAGTCCTGCATGCCCTTTTGAAGAGCCAGTGTAGATCCAAATCTGTAGCCAAGGATGTAGCCCTGTTTAGCCAGAGCTGTGGCAGGAACCAGTAGTAGCTTGTTATGCTGTTTGGAGGGCATGGTAGAAAGAGAGCAGAGCAGCTAACTAACCTAGATGTCCTTAGGTTCAGCTTCTCAGTTGTGCTGAGTTCTAACGAGTGAGCTTTGTTAATCTTTTGTAGAGAAAAAAAATCACATGTGAATATAAAGCTTGTGTTCTTCTAGAAAGTAATGCCTTGGGAGGGGTCTGATCTACTAATTTTTAGCTTGTCCTATTGAAACTTGCTGAAAAGTTGTCATTAACACCATTATCCCCTGGTCAGAATAGAGGGTGGTTTTGTTGTGGTTTGGGTTTTGTGGTTTGTTTGTTTTTATTTCCCACTACCAACATTGATGAAGCCTGAGACATTGTTATTGCTTTATAAATGAGTAATCTGTAAGGCTTCCCATAAAAAATACAACTACCACTTACTGGTACGAGAGAGATGCTGTAGCACAGAGGAAGCTGCAGCCACAAGAACTGTGAGATAGTTTGGGTAGAGTGTATGAGGAACAAGGGATACCAACTGGAAGCGAAAATGTGTTGGAGAAAGCAGTATGGTGCTGCTAAGCAGGAGTATGTTCCTTTACATTTAGGAATTATTTAAAAGCTGCAGGAAAGGGACTGCAGGATAGCACGAGTGGGTGAAGAAGATTTTGAACTGTGGGGACATCAGAGTAGATGTAGAGCCTCAGGCAGCTTCAAACAAAGCAGGTTTCTCCAGGTTTTAATGTAAATTCTCTTGGGTGGAGGTGTTAGTGAATCTGATCTCAGTCATTACTACACATGGTCTGCTTTCTCTTCTTTGCATATTGTTAATTTTCTTCTGGAAGGTTAACAGCCAAACTACACAATAGGTACACAATGGCTGGATTAAATGCAGAGAAAAGCAGGGAGCGTGCAGAGGTGGGGCAAGAGCCTCAGGAGTATCCCTTTCGTTAACAGGAACCATGACCTCAAACATCACAGCATTAACAGTTGTTCTTTGTTAACCTTCCATCACTAGGCATCGCTGCTTCTTAGGCAAGATGGCAGAACCTAATATTTAAGTCCGGTTCTGTGAATTCAAGGCAAATCCTGGTGTAGGGTGTGGTTACAGTACAGTCGGACTGGTTTAATCCTATTGCCAAAAAGTTACTGCTGCCAAAGGAGGATTGCCTTGTTCTTTGCCTCTACTGGCAGCACTCCCTCCCCCATTTCACATGCTGGCTCTCGTTAGCCCCACGGTGAGCCAATGCAGTTTAATTTCTAAAAGAAAACGAACACACCAGAAACAGGAACAGCTTCTTGGTGGTTTAGAGAATCCAGCTGGTTTTACCGTGTGTGTAGATGAGCAGCCGAGTGGGCATAGGAAAGACTGTGGGGCAGGGATGGGGGAAGTGCTGCCTCCCTTGTCAGCAGCCCCTGGATTGGGTCAGGTCTGTTGCTCAAGTGCGTCTTTGCAGCACCTTGGGAATCTGAAAAAAAACCCCACCATCAAAACACCCAATCGATTTTGCTCAGAAGCAGCTGAGCAGAACCTTCAGTTCTCCTGTGAAAGCACTAACGCTTGTCTGCAATACAATAATATCCTCAGCCATTGCAGCTGTTCAGCTAAGTGAGCATATTTCTAAATGGATTGCAAGGCACAGCGCTTTAGTGCACACAGGTGCCCCTGCAGTAATGAGAGCACCGCTCCTGCTCGGGCACACGCAGAGCAGGACTGCGGGAGGGCAGTGGTACAGAACCGAGAGAAAATATCCCTCTCTCTCATGTGGGGTTTCTGTTGTTTTGAATTTGATCACAGAAGACTTCTAAGTCAGCAAGAGGTAGGGAAAAGTGAGAACTGCTTGGGAGAGTGGAAAAGCTGCTGAGGTTTTTCTGCAGACTCTGCAGAAGGAATGTCTGTATGGCTAGACTTGCAATTTGGGTAATTTGGATTTTATTAAATGTGCTTTCATTACAAATATATCGATCACTTGAATACAGTCACTAACTACTTTTAAAAGCAACTGAAAATATTCTTCAGTCCTTCACTCTGTTACAGAGAACTGTTTTACCTAAAGATTTTCCAGCAATCTGGAAATGTTAACTGTTATTAAGAGAAGGTTTTTGGAATTTCATGAGCATTAACAGAAAACGTGAGTCTCTGTTTCTTGTCTACACAAAACTCTCCCAAATGCATTGTAACTGTGGTGTTTCCGGAAAAAAACAATGAGAAGTTCAAGAATAGTTAGAGACAGACAGTAGTTTTGTTGTGTCAGTAGGAGTACAGGTAAATGATGTATTAGAGCAGGCTGCGAGCGGTAGGCAGTAATTAACTCTTGGTGATAGCACATCGGTGAGCCGAGAACCAGGCAGCTTCACAGTAAGAAATTTGAAAACGCAATCGATTAATTTTGAGTCATAATCCAGAGGGCTGGAGTACCCCACGGAGCCTGTTCTCGCGGCACCGCTTGAGCTAATTCGGGAGACAGCGCTGGAAATGGCTCAGGAGCTGCGACCCGAACAAGCCCCGCTTTGGGGGCACGAAACCGGCAGCGGGGGCAGGAGCACCTCCAGCCAGCAGAGCGCCGCCCCCGAGCCGCGCTCCCCGTCCCCTTCTCGGCACGGCAGCCCCGGAGCGTTCCCGTGCTGCCGGCGCTCGGCCGGGGCGCCCAGAG